CGTAGAATTCGCATATCCTCTTTCGAAAACCCCCTGTAGTTTAGACATACCCTGGGGGTCTATGTTGTGATCCTGCAAAGGGACAGGACCTTCTATCCAAAGGGGATCCCAATCCAGGGAAGAATGGGAAATATTTGGCCTGCTGAGACTCCCTAAGAGAGATGGGTGACCTCTGGTCAGCATTTAGCAGGCGCAAAAGAATTTCTTTTTTTTTTCTTTTTCTTTTTTTTCTTTTTTTACAGATTTTCTCTGTAATGATTTCACCTTAAGAAGCAAGAGGCTTGCTTAGGAAGGGCTGTGTGGTTGAGGTAACAATCACACTGTTCATAGCATTCCAACAGAAAGCCAAGCACAGACACTGGCCTGGTGAGGCAATCTGGCTTTCTGGGAATACCAGTTTACGAACTGTGCAGCCTGAGCAGGAGGGAGGGAGACATGGGTCTCTGCCCAAGAGATGTAACAGCTGGGAGCCTGAAAAGTGAATGCCCTGGATACACCAGGGAGTTGTGGAACACAGGCACTGTTTTTGCCCTTACTCGTGACACCCCAACCATGTAGGTGACCATGATCTCTGCTGTAACCTGAACTAGGATTGCAGGCTAATGAGCTGTAAAACATGTTACAGGGCTGCTCCGCTAAAATCAACGTGGGCTGGAAAGACAGGATCCGACTCTTCCACGCTGGCTCTTGCCAAGTAATACACGGAGTAATGTGCTACACAATGGGAGCCCTCCTGCTCATTTCCATGGGCTCGGGATCAGGCTTCAGGCGGGGACAGACCCTGACCCAGACTGACTGGCAGTGCTACAGACATCTTCCCTCGCCTGTCGGCTCCCAAATTCGGGTAAGCAACAAAGGAAACAGGCTTAGATCTCAGTCTCACTTCCAACCCGACTACTCCGGAGTCACACGGGGCTCCTCCGGTTCGGAACGTGCCGCTCGGTGAGTGCACGCGGATCCGCTAGCCTCACCCCAGCGCTTGGAGCCTGCCAGGCAGGTTCTCAGAGGCACACGGGAGAGCCGCAGAGCGCTGACCGGGAGCAATTTCCCAGGGGGCGTTAGCTCGGCAAGCAGCAGGTTAGAAGGAAAGAAAAGAGATCGCGGGGCTAAACTACCGCCCTACAGAGGCATGGCAATTGGGGGTGCCTGGGGTCCCAGCTACCACTGGCCAGGGGAGAGCCGCAGAGCGCTGACCGGGAGCAATTTCCCAGGGGGCGTTAGCTCGGCAAGCAGCAGGTTAGAAGGAAAGAAAAGAGATCGCGGGGCTAAACTACCGCCCTACAGAGGCATGGCAATTGGGGGTGCCTGGGGTCCCAGCTACCACTGGCCCTGCGCGCCCAGGACTCTGCCTCCCCCCCCCGCCCCTGCCC